AAAACTGCCTGCAGGTATCGGGGAAAGGAATAAATCAAGCTTGTCTATGATGGTTTCCACAGTCAAGAGCTTGTCACTGTGTGTACAGAGTGCATTGCTGCAGGTATAGAAAGTTGAGCAGTGAGTTTATCAGAAATTATGTTTCCTCCTGAACGCCCCCGATAGTTCAATCAGACCTCAGAACTAAACATGGTCCTCAACCAATATTTTGTGCAGAGTATCAGAACACAGAAGATTAGCACTGATCCTAGCAACACTCTATCAAGTACAGTACAGGACATGAGAATCCAGCTTGATCGATTCCTAGTACACACACCAGCCCCATGTCTATAACTGGGCCTGATTTTTTGAACAAAGTTCCCTCAGGCGACAGTCTGTGTGGAGTTTGCACATTCTCTCCCTGTCTGCGTGGATTTCCTCCGGATGCTCCGGTTTCCTCCCACAGTCCAGAGACGTGCAGGCTAGGTGGATTGGCCATGCTAAATTGCCCCTAGTGTTCAGGGATGTATAGATTAGGTGAGTTATTGCAGATGGGTCTGGGTGGGATGAGGATCAGTGTGGACTTGTTGGGCCGAAGGGCCTGTTTCCACGCTGTAGGGATTCTATGACCTATGATATCATAGGAAATCAATTCACTTAATCTTTTACCTACATCTCTGGCCAATTAATTTTGGGTTAGTTGAGCTTTGCCTGATAATTTGCCTCTTTTTCAATCATTTCCCTAATTTTTACCCATGTTTCTTTCTCCATCTACCTTCTGTCATAAGGGATAGTGGACCACCTATTAATGGACCAACATTTTTAAAATCTCATCTCTATTTACCTGCTGAGCTTTGGTTTGCATTATGGTTGTCCACCTCATTCTCATTTCCTTCTCCTTGTTCTCATAAACAGTAAATAGTTAAGATCTATTGGAAAAAATCCTGCATCTACAGGATCACCTCTTCACCCTGTCCTAAGTTCCATATTGCTGACTCTGTGATGATGACACCTTTTGTCTGTAGAGTCATGGACCTATGATTTCCTCTGAATAAACCTAACCTTATTTTAGGGTGTATCTGTCTCTCATTCCAGCTCATGACAGAGTTGAGTGACTCTAATCAGAGTGAGCTCCTGCATCTGAGGGAATCCAGGACGATCTCAATGTACACAAAATCTCACATCCTCCATTCCCAACGTATAGTTTGGTCCATGTAATTCTAATCTCATTTATTTTCTTTTTGAATCAGATTATCAAAAAAAAGTGAGGTAGATAGCTTTTGTTTTTAAAAAAAATACTTAACTTGCTCATCCTCTGAGCTTCTCCTATGTGCTTGGTGTGACATGAATTCTTTGTGAGATCTTCTCTAGGGCTAGTATTGTTAACTAGTTATCTTAGACCAGGTTTAATGTTAGTTCTTCATTATGCAGAACATTGCTGTTTTTTATAGTTAAACGTTTAAAAACTTGGAAAATAATTTGAATATTTTGATTAGTTTTCTCCAGATCCACCACTTCTCACTTGTCCTGATTTTGGGATTTCTTTTTGGGCTATCTCTCTGTATCTCCTGGCTATTGCTGTATTGAGTTCAATTATGCCATATGGCATAGTACGAGATGCAACAGCAGAGGCTCGCTGGTAGAAAGGGGCTGTGATGTTTCAATCTTCTAGAGGCAAAACATTATCCCAATCAAATCCATTTAGGAAAATCATAAATATTGTGAAGAGTTTTAAAAAAATAACTCTTGTGAAATAGTAGACTGTCCTGTCTTTAAGTTTCACAGAATTTGTATTGAGGTAACAATGTGAAACCCTTGCACTGAAGTTCTTAGCCACTATCAAGAGGGTTATTGATAAGATGAAAAAACAACATATTGCAAAAACAATTTATTTCTAAGGTGTGTGTATTTGGGTTTTTGAAAAGGCATTCTGAATAAATTTTAGGAAAATAGGAAGAATAAATTTTGATGTAGGTAATGGACAAAAGTTAAGAGGAAGAAAGAAAATAAGGGAATAACCAGGGAAGCAGTGCATAAGAGAAATAAACGAGAAGAAATCAAAGAAAAGAGATTGAGATAATGGAGAAGAGAAGGCAGAGGAAAGAAGAAGGAGATAGTATCAGTATGGCTCCATTATTGTACCCTCACCACTAGGTCAGGAGGCTATGTTTTACGAATTCTCTAGGAGCACATAGACTAAAGTGATATTAAACATGCAGTTTATTATCAGAGGTAGCAGCTCTGATGAGATGTTATAGCATCTAGAGCTGAATTAATAATTCTTTGGGCTCTTGCTGACATATGAGGAGAGATTGACTAAGTTGGGATTGCTTTCGCTGGAGTTCAGACGAATAAGGGGGAGATCTCAGAGACTTATAAAATTCTAAAGGACTGGACAGGGTAGATGCAGCGAGGATGTTCCAGATGGTGGGTGTGTCCAGAACCAGGCAATATTGTTTATTTCATACGATTGTTTTGTTGGCAAAGATCTGAAAGGTGTAGTTTTAGGCTTAACTTAACCCTTCAAGAGAAAGTGGCAATCATTAAAAAATGAGTTCAGTTTTACTTTGTAGTCTTGTATGTAATAATTCTGCAAACATACACAATACATAGATTATTCAAAAAGATTTTTGGAAAATTAATGTCAAATAAACTGAACTTACTAAATGAATTTAGTGTAGATAAATGAAGCATAAAATGGAGTGTCAGGGTACCTGATCCTTAGTGTACATCTACATAAAAATAATGAGTAGAAATAGTTGCTTGGGAACATGATTCACATAAAAACACAGAAGATAGGAGCAGGAGGAGGCCATTTGGCCCTTCGAGCCTGCTCCGCCATTCTTCACAGTCATGGCTGATCGTCCAACTCCATAACCTAACCCTGTTTTCTCCCCATAACCTTTTATCCCATTCACCCCAAGTGCTATATCTAGTTGCCTCTTGAATACATTCCATGTTTTGGCATCAAGTACTTTCTGTGGTAATGAATTCCACAGGCTCACCACTCTGTGTGAAGAAATGTCTCCTCATTTCCATCCTAAATCATCTATCCCAAATCCTCACACTGTGACCCCTGGTTCTGGACACACCCACCATCTGGAACATCCTCGCTGCATCTACCCTGTCCAGTCCTTTAGAATTTTATAAGTCTCTGAGATCTCCCCCTTATTCGTCTGAACTCCAGCGAAAGCAATCCCAACTTAGTCAATCTCTCCTCATATGTCAGATCCGCCATCCCTGGAATCAGCCTGGTAAACCCTTGAGAGCAACAGCATCCTTCCTCAGAAAAGGAGACCAAAACTGCACACAATATTTTAGGTGTGGTCTCACCCAGGCCCTGTATAACTGCAACAACACATCCCTGCTCGTGTGCTCAAAACCTCTCGCAATGAAGGCCAACATACCATTTGCCTTCTTTACCGCCTGCTGCACCTGCACGCTTACCTTCAGCAGCTGGTGCACAAGGTCCCGCTGCACACTTCCCTCTCCCAATTTACAGCCATTCGGGTAGTAATCTGCCGCCTTGTTTTTGCTTCTGAAGTGAATAACTTCACATTTGTCTGAATTATACTGTGTCTGCCATTGATTTGCCCACTCACCCAACCTGTCCCGATCATGCTGAAGGATCTCTGCATCTTTGTCACACTTCACCCTCCCACCCGACTTGGTATCATCTGCAAACTTGGAGATGTTACATTTTGTTCCCTCATCCAAGTGATTAATATATATTAGTGAATAGCTGGGGTCCCAGCACTGATCCCTGTGGTACCCCACTAGTTACTGCCTGCAGATTTGAAAAGGACCCATTAATTCCTACTCTTTGTTTCCTCTCTGCCAACCAGTTTCCTATCTATCTCAATACACTTCCCCCAACCCATGTGCTTTAATTTTGCACGTAATTTCTTATGCAGGACTTTGGCAAATGCTTTCTGAAAGTCCAAATATACTACATTGACTGGCTTCCCCTTGTCAACTCTGCTAGTTACATCTTCACAGAATTCAACAGATTTGTCAAGCATGATTTCCCCTTCGTAAATCCATGTTGACTCTGTTTGATCCTGCTGCTGCTTTCCAAATACTCTGCTGTAAAATCCTTGACCAATGTTAGGCTCACCAGTCTGTAATTCCCTGTTTTCTCTTTATCTCCCTTTTTGAATATTGGAGTGACATTAGCCACCCGTCAATCTGCAGGGACTGTGCCAGAGTATATAGAATCCTGGAAGATAGCCACCAATGCATCCACTATTTCTAGAACTACTTCCTTAAGTACTGTGGAATGTAGATTATCAGGCCCTGGGGATTTATCAGCCTTCAATCCCAACAATTTTCCCAGCATCATTTCTTTACTAATACTAATCTCCCTGAGTTCTTCCCTCTCACTAACAATAACTAATGCCTTTTAATGACTAATGCGTTACAGCTCACTGGGTAAGATTTAAACTCAATTACTGCATCTTAATAACCCCTTAATCTAAGTATAAGGGAGCACTGGGTTCCAAATTTTTAAACAGAAATCCTATAAATTACTGCTGAAAGAAACGTTTATTAGCCATCTAACCTTTAATGATTTTTTTATACAAGAATATTATGTACTATTGCATGTATTAATGTGCTGTTTGTAGGGTGAGTTTGTTAAAGATGAAAAATAAACTGCCAAAAACAAAAAAATTATAAATATAACACATACAGTATTAAAATATCTTTCTGAATTAAATCTTTGTTTTAATATTGCCATTATTGTTGTAAGCAACAATGTTTAAAAAATGTATCAAGTAAAACATGAATTAGTAAATAACATTTAATTATTTGCCAGATTTAGTTAATCAGTTGTTATCAATGATCAATATAAAAAGCCACCAAGAGTTTTTAAAATGGAAAATCAGCAAATTTTATGGGTTAACAAGGTGTAGAGCTGGATGAACACAGCAGGCCAAGCAGCATCAGAGGAGCAGGAAGGCTGATGTTTTGGTTATTTCTTTTATGTAGAGCTGCTATTACATTTCTCTTTCTTTAAACAGAGAGCTTAGGATTGTCACTGGAGAGTGGTTTTTTGAAGCGAGATCAAAACGATTTGAACCTGCATCGGGAATGGGATATGATATCATCAAACAGTCCATCATCAGGAAACCTATAGGTAGGATACACTGGACATGGTTTTTTCTGTAATTCATACATACAGATTAAAGTCAGCAGAAAAGTTAAGGTATTATCAGTTCCAGTATTCATGCCTTTTTACAATTTTCCATAGTGAGCACTAATTAATATCAAACAACTTTTCAACATTTCTGAAAATTAACTTTTAATTGTATAGAGTTCCATTCTTTCAGATTTTAAATATTGTAGAAAATCTAATATTTAAATCTTAGTTTCTCTTAATGCAATCTTTCCTTTTCTTTATTTCATTTACTGTGCATGATTTGACACTGAACTCAATATTCCAGCGGATATTTTCTGGTTCAGACATTACACCATCCATTAGTGAAGCTTTCATCTGATTTGGTTAAGTAGATGTACACATTGGGCTGAATTTAATGGCTATAGCAGTGGAATTGATAACTAGTGGGTAAACCAGGCCCACCTCCATGTGGCCATTTTCAGAAACACCAAATGAGCAACAGGCTGACAATTATTTGCCATTGAGGCTGTTGTATCTTTAAGGGTGAAAATTCCATCTCTAAGAGCATCTGGCAATTGGAGGACCAGCAACTATTCAGGAACTCTACACATCTTAGCCACAACCACCTGGAGAATACACTAAAGCTAGCAAGGCCACAGAAGGCTCTGGTTGAGGGACTTTACTGTCCATCACCAACGGCACCATCACTGAAGGAGCAGGCCAGGACATTTCTTCTGAGAGGAACTCGGAATGGGGGTGGGGAAGAATTCAGTGGTCCATGTAGGTATCAGTAACATTGGTAGGACAAAGAGTGAGATTCTGCTGAAGGATTATAAGCAGCCTGGAGCTACATTGAAAAGCAGGCCCACAAAGGTAATCGTCTCCAAATTATCACCTGAGCCATGTGCAAATTGGTGTAGGGGAAATAAGACTAGAGAGGTAAATACATGGAAAAAACATTGGTGTGGAAGAAACGGGTTCTGATTCATAGAGTGCAGGCCCCTGTACTCAGAAAAGAGGGACTATGAGCAGTTGGGTTGGTATAGGTTTCATTCGAACCATGCTGGGACCAGTGTTCTGATGAATTGTGTAACGTGAGTTATAGATAGGGTTTTAAACTTATTAATAAGGGGTGGAGGGTTCAATTGAAAGGAAGTTTAGAAAAGGCAAAAAGAGAATAGAGGTACAGGGTAGTGAAGAGGTAAATGATAATCAGTGTTTGATAGGGAGGGGTAGAAAATATACACAGAAGAGTGCAACAGGAATTAGAGCCTGAGAGAGTACTAATGGTAAAAAATCAATGTTTAAGGCTCTTTATCTGAGTGCACACACTATTTGTAACAAGGCAAATGAGTTCACAGCAAGAATATAAATAAATGAGCATGATTTGGTAGCTGTTACAGAGATTTGGTTACAGAGTGACCAAGATTGGAAACTCCATATTCAAAGGTATTTGATGTTCCAGCAGAATAGGCAAAAAGGAGAAGTTGGTGAGGTAGCTTTGCTCATAAAGGAAGGTATCAGTGCAGTGGTAAATAGTGATATAGGTGCAATAGATTATTATGTGGAATTTGTTTGGTTATAATTAAGAGATTACAAGAGTATGTAGTCACCAGTGGGAGTCATCTGTAAGAGTTTCCTTACTGTAGAACAAAGTACAAATCAAGAAATAATGGAGGTGTGCACGAAGGGCACCACAATTAGCATGGGTGATTTCAATCTGCATATTGGCTCTGAAAATCAGGTGGACAAAGCTAACACGGAAGACAAATTTCTAAAGTGTATCAGGGATTTCTTCTTTGGGCAGTATGTTGCAGAACATACCCAGGATAAGGCTATTTTAGACCTACTAATATAATGAAGTGCAATTAATTAAAAAAAAGTCTCAGTTGAGGATCCTGTAGTGGTTAGCAATCTCAAGATGGTAGAATTTAAAATTCAGTTTGAGGGACAGCAACTCGGGTGTAAAACCAGTGCCCTAGCCTTAAATAAGGGCATTACAGAGGTATGAAGGAAGAGGTGACGTATTTTGACCAATTCCTCCACTATCTCTGCATCCACTTCCCTTTAAAACCCTTGGATGCAGATCCTGGCAACTTGTCTGCCTTTGGTCCCTTTTGTATTTGAGACTTGTTACAAAGATCTTTCTTCCTATTAGCATCTTGCTTCTCTGCTATGTTGAGAAATTTATCGTCTCCTTCACCATGAAGTCTGATGCAAAATATTTGTTTAAGTTATTTCCCTGTTCCCCGCTATCAATTCCCTAGTTGCATCCTCCAAGGGTCCCACACATATTTAACCTATTTTTTTTTAAAGAGGCTCTTGCTGTTTGTTTTTATATTTATTGTCAATTTAATTTCTCCCGTTTGTTTGACCTTTTTAGTCATCCACTGCGGGTTCCTAAAAATTGCTCAAACCTCTGGCCTACAACATGATTTCATCACTTTGAACATCTTAGTTTTTTTATTGGATACACTCCTTGTTCACCTTTGTTAACACTGGATAGTTCAATTTTCTCATCTAGTCCTTCTTTTTGACTGCAATAAATTTTTGTTGAGCATTATGAAATATCTGCTTAAATGTCTGTCACTATTCATTGATCGACTTTTCCTTTCATCTATTTCCCAGCTCTGATAAAGACCTATTAGTTCAGACTCTCTGTGTTAACCAATTCCTAATCCATAGTAATGTATTACCCCCCAATACTGTGAGCTCCTATTTTGAACAATAATTTTTTATGCAGCAATTTACCAAATGCCTTCTGATAATCCAAATTTACAACAAAATTTCAGAACTCACTGGATTCCGGGAAGGTTTCAGCAGTTTAGAAAGTCACCCCCTCCTCCCACCACGACCATTTAAGAAAGGAGGGAGACAGAAAGCAGGAAGTTATAGGCCAGTTAGTCTAACATCTGTCATTTAAGAAAATGCTAGAATCCATTATTAATGGGAAAAAAAAACTGATCATTTAGAAAAGCTTACTGCAAATCAAACAGTCCATGTGATTTGGTGAAAAGGAATTTATTTGACAAATTTGCTCGTGTTCTTTGAGGATATAACAGGAAGAGTTAATACAGTTGAAATGGTAGATGCAGTGTATTTGGATTATCAAAAGGCATTTGATAAGGTTCCACGCAAAAGATTAATGCTAAAGGCAGGAGCTCACAATGTTGGGGGTTAATATATTAGTGTGGATTGGGAATTGGCTAACACACAGCAGAGAGTCAGGACTAATGGGTCTTTTTCAAGTTGGAAAGATATAATGAGTGGAGTGCCACAAGGATTGGTCCTCGGGCTTCAATTACTGACTATCTTTATTAATGACTTGGAGAAGGAGTCAGAGTGTAATGTATCCAGATTTGTTGAAGATACAGAAATATTTTGGAGGATGTGTTGCAATGACAGCATGAGGAATGTGCAAAGAGCTACAGGTAGGTTGAGTGAGTGGATGAAAAGTTAGCAGATGGAGTTTGTAGGAAAGTGCGAGTCATGCACTTTGGCACGAAGAGTCAAAAGGTATCATTTAAATGGGGACAGCCTCTGAAAGAGGTGCAGTGCAGACTAGATCACTGGAAATGTTTGAAGATGAGATGGATAGATTTTTGAAATATCAGGAAGTTGATGGTTATGCTGAGCTGGCATGAAAGCGGAATTGAGTCCCAGGGTGTTTCAACCTCAATCGTGCTGAATGAAGGAGCAGGCTGGAGAGGCCAAATGGACTATTCCTGCTCCAATTTCTTATGCTTTAATGTTCTTAAAGCTGTTGATGTTTTTTTTTATTATTTTCAGTGCAACACAAAATGTACAGTAATTTGATTTTACATTCTCTTATTTAGAAGACAAGACTGACCAACCAAAGGGAAAAACAAATCAGAAGAATACAGATGAAGGCTCAAGGACCTCCACATTAACCAGAAATGAGAAAAAAATGGTTCCTGAAGTATTCAAACGGATTAAGTAAGTAACAATGGAGCCTTGAGGATCTGTTCACTTTCAGCATTGAATCCCTTATTTAGATATTGTCCCAGTCAAGCTGTTGGATTATTTGACTTTATTCAAAAGGCAGAATGTATCATTCAGCAAGAGATGGTCAGCTGCAGGGTACTTTTAGCCAAATTTCTCAGATTATTAAGAACTTACGAGATGAGTGCAGGTCACACAATGGAAAGCACTACCCAGGCGCTCACTCTTATCTTATTCTTATGTGGGGAAGAAAACACTGAATAGGTTTTGAGTCTGATATGATACTTCTTCAGTCATTCTGGACATGAAAAATTAACTGTTTCTGTCTCCACACATGCTGCCAGACCTGCTGAGGTTCTCCAGCATGTCTTGCATTTGTTTCAGATTTCCAGCATCCACAATATTTTGCTTTTAAATGTATAATTAATACTTAATTCAGAGCATAATGAACATAGGCAGCAAATGGACTAAATGAAATCCAAACATGTCCAGGATAATGGCTGTAAGTGATCACATAAGTGCTAGGAAATAGCAAATTAGTCATGGTGATCAGTTTAAGTGGGCTTTCTGCTCACTTCGAGAATGGAAATGAAAAATGCTTACTCATAATTTTTGAAGATAAACGAACTTGATATAATGTGTTAAGTGGCACTCTGGTCACACATTAAGCTCATTTTAATAGCTGTCCTCGGTTAATTGCTTGATGAACACAACAAAGTTTCCACAGTTCACAATTTAACTTATTTGGATCAATTTTGTGTGTCCCCATTTATGGATCAGTTCAATCTTTGGTTGTGACTTGTGTCTCATTCATCTCCTATACAATGTAGCACTTGTGCATATGTGTCACAGATTCAGATTCAGATGCTGTTCCAAATTCTGAGCTCAAAAATCAAGGTTGGCACTCCTGTGAAGTATTGAGGAACAGCTGCAGTGTCAGAGGTGTCACCTTTTGGATAAGATACGAAACCAAGGTCCTGTGTGCACTGTGAGGTGGATGCAAAATATCCTTTGGCAATGTTTTATGGAAGAACAAGTTTTTATTCCAGGTGGCCAGGACAAAATTTGACTCTCAATCAACATCATGCAAACAAATTATCAGATTGTTATCACATTGGTGTTGTGGGTGTTCCTTGCACGTAAATTGACTGCTACATTTCCTAAAGACTTCTGGTGATTGTGAAAAAATGTTATATTGACACCAGGGTGTTTTTGTAATTTATTAAATGAGCTACCAAATGTGGAAACAGATCCCTTTGTGGAATAGAGATAACAATGTGTAGAGCTGGATGAACACAGCAGGCCAAGCAGCATCAGAGGAGCAGGAAAGGTGATGTTTCGGGTCTAGACTTCAGACCCTTCTCCCTTTGTAGAATGTTGTAAAAGACTTATTTCACAAGGAAATTTCATTAGACTTTTGGGTTGGATCTTGAATAAAAAGTTTAAAACAAAGTCTTGGTTCCTATTACATAGTGAGTCCAAGCGCAAAATGTGGATGAAATAACATTAAAACCCACCAAAATGATAGACAGCAATCTTGTCAATTTGTCCACTTCTTCTTGAGCCCCTCACCATTGTGAATTATGCAAAATGTAATTATGTTCTTATCTATCAATCCTGACAGAAAACAAGGCAAGTCTAATCAGAAGGTACAGAACGGTCAGGGAATCGATACAGCATCTGAGGATGGAAGACGTGTTAGCTACGCAGGTTCAGATTTTGAAATGGAAAGTCTACATTCCACAACATGGTCTGGCAGGTAATGGATCGCCTGTTTTAAAACTGAAATATGTTCCTCTGGGCTGTGTGGGTGAAATTGCATTTAACTGCACGTTCACATCTGACAATGATGTGAAGATTGAGTTCTGCTGAATCTTTAACCTGCTTCAGAAGCATGCCTCTCCAGATATTTCTAAACTCTGTTATAATAGAGCACTGAGATGTACACTGTGGTAGAATGAGATTCATAAAGAAAATCATGATGTAACAAACCTCATGATTCTGACATTAGTAAGAAAGAAGGCACCAGTCTACAGGGAGCATCCATTTCTTAACGCTACACTAGAGGACTGTTTTAGTAGAGTACTGTGTACAGATGTAAATAAAGGAGCTATACATAACATAAAGAGTTGAAGAACCTTAGTTAATGAAAAAGAGCAAGCAGCCTCAGGCACAGCGAATATACTCCTCCAAGATATACTCCAACTTGGAGATACTCCAAGTTGGTATCTCAATGTACAGAAGATAGCATCAGCTTAAAGAACAAGATAAAACATGGTAACAGCCAGGGAAAAGTAACCTCCAGAGTCAGGACCAGAAGTCTTAAAAAAAAAATCCAAAGAGCACAGCTCCCAACGAGAAGACTGCAGAGGACTTCAAAATGCAGCAGAATAAACAATGGGAAGATTCTGCAGGCAGCCCAGACTCAGAAGACTTGAAGAAAAAAATGCTGGACAAAGAGAAGACTCTGAAGGCCAAGAAAAGATTCAGAAGACTTGTATTACAAGGCTGCAGAACAGGAATAAACTAGAGGATGATGAAAAGAACCTCTGAAGTCTTCAAAGCTTCAAGACAAACCTGATTACTCTGGAGAATGGAAATACAGGATGGGAGGAGATCGATGATAAGAAGGAAAAATCCAAGTACTCACCCTGGTCAGTCAACTACGGAGCTGTGGTGGAGACCTTCCTATTATCTCAATAATTTGTGGAAAATGCACAATGAGACCACAATGGGCGCTCTGCAAGTACCAGTTTAAGGAATAGAGGGGCTTCAGACTTGTATGTGAAGGAGCAGCACCATCAAGTCAGCACATTTTTTGAATGTTATAGGTCCAAAAATCTGATCATGTTCTTATTAATACATGAGGATGTGGAAGATTTAGATTTCATCATTTGACTGAGATTCCAGGTGAGACAAACCTTAAGACTTTGGTAATATTATTGTAATCGAGTGAAATCTCAAAAATGCTTCTACCCATGCAAGATTCGAACTTAGGCTGATAAGATACAACTATGGAATAGTCCATATTCTAGGCAAGGTACATGTAATGGTGCATTCATTTATGACAGCAACAGTGGATTGAGCATAAGAGGAGGTAAAGCATGTAGAGAAAGAAAAAGTAGAGTTCTACATACAGGGTAAAACCTCTGTCAGCTTTAAAACCATGATGTGGAGGTACTGGTGTTGGATTGGGGTGGACAAAGTCAGAAGTCACACGACACCAGGTTTTAGTCCAACAGGTTTATTTGAAACAAGAAGTTTTTGGAGCGTAGGCCCTTCATCAGGTGAAGTGAGAGAGAAACACGGAATTTAAACGGAGAGAGATCAAAAGATCATACAAGTGGTGTGAGTGGAGTGTTGAAAAATAAGTCTCTGCACATGATTTAAAATGTCAGACAGTGTGTATAAAGTGTCAACGGCTGAATAACAAGCCAGGGCAGAAAGTCTGGTTAAGGGACAGGAAGTCAGAGGCATTGTCATCAGAGAAACGGATTTGCCAGAATGCCTAATAGGTGTTATAAAGCGAAGGTTAACCCCCTCGGAGACCTAAAACCAAAACACTTGGAGGAGCACCTCACCCTATAATCTGTAAAAGGAATGTGAAAAGTGGGATAACCTGCCTTTCAGCAACTTGTAGTGGTTAAATAAAATAAACCCCGACACTCACTTTACAATCAACAAGTAACAATTTATTTATCGAACTCTTAATAGTATAATTAATTTGTTCACTGTTAACAAATCGAATAAATCTCTTCAAATTGCTATCTATTCCTAAATAAAACAAAATCCTAATATTAGGCTGTTCCAATAAATACAAGTCCTACTTATATACAATAAAATTTTAAAAAGAAGAATTTAGTATCTCAAAATTACAGCTAGATTACATGTCTTCCAGAATGCTCTTTGCCTTCTCCATTGAATGTTCTGTCAGGAATATCTCCACCATTGATTCTTCATTTCAGGAATATTAACTAGTTGTGCTGTAGTTAGAGAAGCCTGTGAGAGCCAGTGATTCTCTCTTGAGAGCTGAGAGCTGTTAACTCTGGCAGATGGCAGTGTGCTCTTCTGTCTTTGTCCAACTGCCCTCTTCTTTTATACCCTGATCCGTTTCTTGCACTAGGATTTGTCCTAATTTGTCGAAATCATCAGATTTAAATTTAATTGGGTTTTGGTATCCATGTGCCTAGTTCAAACTGATTGGCTAAAGTCAAAACTTGTCTTGGTAACAAAACAAAACTGCTGCTTGCAGTAAATGATTATCAAGGGTTGTCAACAACCACAGTGTGCACAATAATTCCCAACATTGAGCAATATCAGTCAAAATAAACTATGAATAATATAGACTGTGTAAAGATAACCTTGGGGGTTGGGAGTGGGGGTTAAGCAGGGAGATGTTTTATTATAAGATTCAAGTAAACCATGATGAGATGACTAGTCAAATAACTGACAGCAGTAAGACAGAAGATGCAAGTCTAAAATGAGCTCATGAAGACAGAGGAATTGGACACTAATCTATTGATGACCTATTTATCAACTGCAATACTCCTTTATTTACATCTATAATGAGTTGAAAAGTCTTTTTAGTGATAGGGAGCAATCAGCTCATGGACAGTATGTGTGCAGACACTGATAGGCCAGCCATTCCAGATTTATATTGCAATGTGCAGATTGCAGTATTGGCTTAAAGGATGAGATGAATCATGCGCCATTTTGCCTGTTCTACTTGGACTATCGCCAATGTTTACTTAGGCATAATTCACCCTGTCTTCCGCACTTAATTTTGATGAGAAGAAAGGCAATTTACTTAGTTCTTGCCTCTTGGAAATGTGGAAACATTGAAAATATGAGCAGGAGTAAGCCATTTGGCTCTGCAGGCCTGCTGTGCCATTCAGTATGATCACTGCTGATCATCGAACTTAGTACCCCATTCCCGCTTTCTTCCCATATCTTTTGATCCCTTTAATCTTAGAAACTATATCTAACTCCTTCTTCTTGAAATGTTCAATGTTTTGGCCTGCTTACTGTGGCAGACAATTCCACAGGTTCATCAATATCTGGGTGAAGCAATTTGTCCTCATCTCAATGGTAAAGGGGAATATGGGTTTGTAGAATGATGTGGATTTCTGAAAAGTATTCAATAAGATGCCACACAAAAGGTTACTACTGAAGATAAGAACTCGTAGGGCCAAACTTTACCAGAAACTAACAAAGTGTCAATTTCAGCAAGTTTCATGGAGGTTTCTCTTCTAGTCTTTCTGAACTTACCTCAACCTGAACTGGGACTCCTACGCACCTATGGGCATCAGATTTCTGAAGTCTTTCCCCAGTTAGAAAATAGTCTTCGCTTCTATTCTTCAGACTAAAAACCATAACCTCATACTCTCCACATTATATTGTACCTGCCCCTTCTTTGTCCACTCTCCTAGCCTGTCGAAATCCTCTGCAGCTTCCTGCTTCCTCAACACTACCTGTCTCTGTACCAATTTTTGTCATCTGCAAACTTAGCAATAACACTGTCTATTCCTTTGTCCAGATCATTAATGCATAATGTGGATAGTAATGGTCCCAAAACTGATTCATGCAGAACTTTAGTGGTTGCCAGTTGCCATTATGAAAATGACCCCTTTATCCCGACTCTCTGACTTCTGTCATGCCAGTACCTTGATCCTAACACCCTGGGCTCTTATCTTATTTGGGAGTCTCCTGTGCGGCATCTTGTCAAAGTGAGTTTTATCACCGTTCTGTCCGATCACATTGAACTGCAACCTATCCGTACAGTTACAGAAAATGTGCATTCTCGCCATTCCTTGTATGTGGTTATGTTCAATAAAAGGCAATCAATTTTCACATACTAGATGGCAGACCTGATCTTACTACCATTTTTGAGACATATGTACAGACAAATAATGGGGGTTCAATTTTCCTATTGCCTTTGACACAGTAGACCGCACCATTTTTTTGTCTATCGCCCTATTAGTATGACAAGACTTGCCCTCACTAGAATCCTATTTTGCTTCTCACGAACTTGATTGAGTTTTTTTGAAAAAGTAACAAAGAGGATTGCTGAAGGCAGAGCAGTGGACATGATCTGTAAGGACTTCAGTGAAATGTTTGACAAGGTTCCGCATGATAGACTGGTTAGCAAGGTTAGATCACATGGAATACGGAGAGAACTAGCCATTTGAATGCAGAGCTGGCTTGGAGGTAGGAGACAGAGGGTGGTGGTGGAGGGTTGCTTTGCAGACTGAAGGCCCATGACCAGCGGTGTGCCACAAGAATTGGTGCTGGGTCCACTGCTTTTTTTCATTCATGTAAATGATTTGGATGTGAACATAGGAGGTATGGTTAGTACGTTTGCAGATGACATCAAAATTAGCGGTGTATTGGACAGTGAAGAAGGTTACTTCACAGTACAATGGGACGTTGATCAGATGGGCCAGTGGGCCAAGGAGTGGAGGATGGAGTTTAATTTAGATAAATGTGAGGCATTGCATTTTGGAAAGGCAACTCAGGGTAGGACTTATACACTTAATGATTAAGTCTTTGGGAAGTGTTGCTGAACGAAGAGACCTTGGAGTGCAGGTTCATAGTTCCTTAGAAGTAGAGTCACAGAATAATGAAGAAGGCATTTGGTATGCTTGCTTTTATTGGTCAGTGCATTGAGTATAGGAGTTGGGAGGTCATGTTGCGGTTGTACAGGACATTAGTTAGCCCACTTTTGGAGTATTGCGTGCAGCTCTGGCCTCCCTGCTATCG